CTCTCTCTCATTCTCTCTCTCTCAAATAAATAAGTAAAATCTTAAAAAAAAAAAAAAGATTTTACTTATTTATTTGACAGAGAGAGAGAGCGCAAGTGAGCAAGAGCGGGGGGGAGGAGCAAGGGGAGAGGGAGAAGCAAGCTCCCCACTGAGCAAGGAGCCCGATGCGGGGCTCGATCCCAGGACCCCAGGATCATGACCTGAGCCAAAGGCAGACACTTAACTGACTGAACCACCCAGGCGCCCCTCACTGTGGTTTTAATTTGCTTTTCTCTGATTACCAGTGAGATAGAGCAACTTTTCACATGTTTACTGGCCATTTGGATATCCTCTTTGATAAGGTGTTAGTTCAGGTCTCTTATTTGTCTTCCACTGGGTGGTCAATCCTTTCCTGATTAGCAGGAATTCTTTATATATAATGAATATAAGCCCTTTGTAGGTTTTATGTGTCACAAGTATCTTCTCCCACTTTGGGGGTTGGCTTTTTACTTTCTTTATGGTATCATTTGATTAGATAAATGTCTCAAATACATCAATAGCCCTCACCATTATGGTCAGTGCTTTTCTGTATTCTATTTAAAAAAAAAAAATCTTCCCTATTCCAAGGTCATAAAGATATTCACCTATATTTCCTTATATGAGTGTTAGCTTTCATATTTAGATCTACAATTCCACATAGAATTGACTGTTTTAGGGTGCCTGGCTGACTCAGTCAGGAACATGAAACTCTTGATCTCAGGGTTGTGGGTTCAGGCCTCATGCTGGGTGTAGAGTTTAAAGAAAGAAATAAATAAATAAACTTAGAAAAAAAAGAAAGAAAGAATTGACGTTTATATGGAGTGAGGTAGGGACCAAGTTTCATTCTGTTCTATCTGGATGTCCACTAGCCAAGCATTGTTTATTAAAGGAGGGGAGAGAGCACTGTTTCCCACAGATCTGTGGTACTACCTTTGTCATAAATCATGTCCATATATGGGAAGGTGAATTTCTATTTGATTCCACTGGTCTCATTAATCCTTGAGTATTACCATAAAGCTTTAATTATTGCAGCTTCATAATAATATACCTTTCTATGTACCAAACACTTCAAAAGTATCTGGCTATTCTTAGACCTTTGCATTTCTCAATAAATTTTAGCATCAATTTATCAATGTCCAAAGTGAAAACCATTGGGTTTTTTATGGATATTGCATTAAATCTCTAGATCAGTTAGGGAGTATTGACATCTTTACAATACTGAGTCTCCCAACCATAAATATGGTATGCCCTGCCATTTAGTTAGATCTTGTTTAATTTCTCTCAACATTTTCTTTATAAAAGTCCCAAACACGGTATGGGCGCCTGGGTGGCTCAGTCATTAAGCGTCTGCCTTCGGCTCGGGTCATAATCCCAGGATC